AATACATTTGCCGTATTACTTGGATAAATATGTCACCTTAGTTAATTACATTTGAACCTAGAAATTCTGCTTTTTTTACAGGAAATAACCATGTGCCCATCATAAATTCTTTCCTAATAGTAAATTTGTTAACTGTCCTAAAAATGATCTGAAATTTTGGAAGGGGAAAGGATGAGCGATATTGTGTTGAGTCTAATTACCTGGTATTCTATTTTTCACTCTAACAAGGGAAGGATGGTCATGGATAGAATGTATACCATCTTGAAGGGCGTAAAACGTTGATTCCAAATTTTTCTTCCTTATTTGATGAGCGTTCTTGGACAAGGAGTTATAAGCATTTATTGGGGTAATAAATTGCAGGTGGAAATAGGATAAAAATATCCGCAGCCTTCTTCTTAGCGCTGAAATGGAGCAGTGACAATTATCAGAGCATTTTAGGCAATAAATACTTTTAGGTAAAATATGCCGATATTCCGCTTTCTCATTTGAGTGTTGGGAGAATTTCAGCAAGCGATTTTTTCTAGGAAATCATTAAATTTGCTCCAATAAACACTCATAACTTCTCGTCCATGAATGGACCGCAGATATGGAGAGCATATTTGGAAATAGCTTTTTTGTCCTTCAAGATGGTATAGTTCCCATCTCAAAACGCCACTTCGACTGAACATCCTTCCCTCGTAAGTCTTTTTATCTGTACACTTTTAGTGTGCTGCGTAATAATAATGGTGATTGTTAAACCAGATAACAGAAAAAAAAATCCGTACTTAGAATCTCTTCTTTAAGTAAATATTCAAAACTAAGAAACTTATCCTCAGTCCTTGTATATTAGGAACCTTCGTAATTATGACATCGAATGAAAGCTGAAAAAGTATAATCCAAAATCTCATCACAAAATTCGTAATGTTAGTATAAACGATTATTTGCAGCTTTCTTTTTATAAGTCTTCACCAAATTAGTAATTACCTACTGACAAGAGCCAATATCTTATCGTGGGTCTTGAGCACCTAGCACTCGGTGTAAACCCCCGCCCAAAATGAAATTTTTCACTTGGTATGTAGAGCATCACAAAAAGCAAAAATCAAAGTACAAATAACGGCGATCAACAGTGGCACAGCACAATGTAAATAGCGGACAGACCGTGTATAAAATCATGTGAATCACACCGGTCACATCTGCATATTCCGCAGTGGCAGTGCGTAAAGGACAGAAGAACACCGATCGAAATTGCAGAAGTAAACAGAACAATGAACTAACACAATAGCAAAAATGCGAAAAAAAATGTACGGAGACGAGTAGCGGAGATAAGCGCCGCCCTCGACTACTGGTCCTTTTCGCGCATGCTGCTGCATAGCCTGATAGAACCAGTAGTCCACGGAGGCGGTACTCGTTCCTCTACCCAGAAGACTTCTCCTCTACCCAAGAAGGCGCTTTACTTACGAATTCCGGAAACAAATCACACACCGGCCGTTGTGGTGATATGTTCACGCGAACATATGCTCTGCCGTAACGCACGCAAACGTCTCCGTAATTACGTATTAATGAACGCGATGACTGGCGACGCTTACTGTGCTATAACACTCAATCATTCTAATTGCACATCACGCCTGTAGCGCATATAGTCTGGAGGCAAAAAGCCAGCTAGGGGAAGCGGACAACTGTCACCAGTACTCGAAGCAAGAACACCGGACAATTAGTACGATTCGTCAAAAACAGGAATATGGAGCGATGGTGGGAGAAAAAAACGCGCAATTGAGAATGAACAGTTTTGAGTGCGAGCAATTATCGTGGCGCCCGATGCAGTTTGTACGGTCGAACTGTCTCGGGCAAAAAAACCTCCAAGTTCTAAGATCTAGGAAATTGCGGATATTCGGGCTGCAATTACCGCATTATTTATGGCTGAGAATTTTCATCTTGCGATATAGACGAACGCGATGACGCAGAAACGCCTAAATCAACTTGAATTGCAACAATTTTGGGGCTTCGATAATTCTATTTTTAATGCTAGAAGATGAGTTGTACGACCGTATACACCCAGTTCTCAACGGTGAAGAAAATGAGATTGACTCCGTAGTTTTTCGTGAAATTTGGAAAATGCTAGAAACAGGAATTTCTTTCATCTTATTATTACGTCGTAATAGGAATTTTGTTTAAAATCAAGAAAAAGAGCCCAAAAAATTTCCTGATATATTTTACTCCGATTTGAAACGACGCAAAAGTATGGCTTTCCATATATTTACGTTACATGTAAAACAGTAATTTTTTCAATTTTCTTGAAACAACGAATGATTTTTGGCGAGTTTTTAATTCTTTGAGGAGCTTATATTTCTCAAACACTGTTGTTCTACCAACACTTTTGCTATTGGTAAATCCATAAAAAGCCTAAAAAGACGAAAAAGAGGAATGAGAGAATTTTTGAATAAAAAAAATGGATTTGCAGTACTGTTACAGATTGCTTCCATATTCTGCGACTCATGTCAGTGCAGGCAAAAATGGGGCCAGTTAAAAGCCCCTTATTTCTTCCTCAATTAATATGGGATTTTGCCAAAGTTGTCATAATTTCTAGAACAAAGGGAGAAGATGTAATGCAACAAAATTTACGTTATGGCTCGATAACGGACGAAAAAGAATTTTTAGTTTTCTAACAAAAACCAAAATTTCCCGACAAATACACCAATTCTTTACATTCTCCTCATCTCATTTCCCCTTTCCTTTCTTGATAGGCTGACAATCCAAAATATTTCAGCCATTCGTATGAACAGCCATCTAGTCATTTAGAATCCACCCACACTCATTTTTTACTACCAAATTTTTTTTTCACCACCCACGTCCGCATGAAAACTTTTTCCAAAATCTAACTCTTCCCTCCCCCTCCTCTCCTATCCATTATTTATTCTCAACAGCGACACGATGAATTTTCTCATGCAAAATTCACGCAGTCCGCGAAAATGACCAGATGCAAGCATAACAAGATCAGAGGATGACCATAGCGGCATAAATACTAAATTTGATAGATAATATAGGCATAAATCATACACAACAGCTAGGGTTCAGCTCCTCGTGATCCAACGAATGATCATTAACGTAATGCGCGAATTGAGCAGGTGGGAATAGCCGCAGCTTAGTACTATGATATATGGGAGAAATAAATGCCTAAAAGAGAACATGAGTGACGGTAAAGAACTATGTGACCAGGAGCGAAGAAGGTGATAGATATTATGAGCGAAAAAGCTGTTGCTTGCAAAACGTAAAACCATAATAGTGGTCAAAGTAGGCTTAAAGATTCTTTCTGAAGCAAAAATTTAAAAAAAAGCCAAAAACCAAAGCAATGTAATATTCATCATGTTCTGAGTGAAAAGTTGCATAAACACTCATGTTGAGGGGACCCAAGGCTTTCAAAACGAAGTTTGCTGATCTACGTCCATAATTTTGTTCTCAGTATCTAGCCATCAAAAAAAAAAATGCAGCAAGTTTATGTATACTTTGATGTGTAAAATATATGTGTGGGGAAATTTGCAAAAGACATTCAAATGAGATACGATTTTTTTGGGTTTTTTATATTTCGGCTTAAAACCTTATACGGATCATTGGTGTGAACTTCTGAACGTCATCTTGTAGAGCGGGCTTGATCTATCGAAGAGTACCCCGAAACATGCTAAGAACTCAAGAAGAACAGACTTATGTAGGTAAAAAGTCAAATATGCAAGGACTTATGAGACAACCTGTTAACATGAGCAGTGAAAGTGGGGAGGGGAAACTGAAGTCAGCTCGAAAAATTTCGGATTTTGGTCACCAAATTTCTAAGGCCTACATAAGTTTCAGCTTGCGTAGGCAGCTTACTTTTGCTCTAAATGGTCCAAATGATCTGTTAAGTCTACAAATACACGAGTACTGTGTGGGAAAACTTTTTCGGTTATAGCTATGTAACAGGACCCTATTTTTCGAATAAACATAAGCTTTCAAAAAATTCGATACAGACTTTTCGACTCGAGAGACTTTGATGAGAGGTTGACTCGATGAACTGGTGATGAGTAAATGAAAATCGGATATTTGGTTGGACAATGCATGGAAAATCTGAACTAAGAATGAATCCACTAAAAGGTGAAAAAAATGTGACTCGTCGACCCGTTCGGTTCAGAAAGATCTGAACAGAATGATAGTGCGAGTGTATAGATCCGTGCCGAGGTAGAGATCAAAACGAACTTTTGCGAAAAATTGGGCTAAACATGGACGAAAGTATTTGTTTTCACTGTAAGCTATGCGCACTGTAAAATCGGCACACTTTGTACCACCGCACAATCCGACTCGTACCGAAGTAGGCGGAGCGATTACCGGTACGCCTTCGACCGCAATCAAGCCCTCATCGGAACTAATACCACCACAAAACCAATACCAGTAGATCCTGGAAAGCGCACGAAAGTGAATTCGATTAGAAAGCGACCCAACGTCGTCGAATAATCTCATTACAATGCTTGCATGGTCCTCCGCCGCCGCTGAAGCTCCGAGTCCGATGCACTCAATGGCTGCACACAAGGATAACATTGGTCTAGCAACAACGATAATGATGATGACAGTGATGATGTGCACTAAGGGGCTAGGCCTAATTGGCGTAATGAAGACAATACCAGAGGGGATTGGTGGGGATTTCTGGGAGAGAGTAATTGGGGCTGGGAGAGCTGGTATAGCAGGCACTTAGACTGGGGTTATGACCTGAAAAACAAAGAGATAAAGAAAGTTGCTGATCAAAAACAACCCTCGAGTAATCTTAAATTCTCTTTCACTGTCCTTCTTGAGACTTTCACTACGGTTTGCTTCAAAAAAAGCGAAGACAACAAAAACTTTATCACAAGCCAAATATGAACTTGAACCTTTGGGGTTAAACGCATCACTGAGAGATTAAGGCAACAACCACGAGTACAGTCACCGAAGTAGATGTCATGAGTCAACGGATCACAATCAGATTACCACTCCGAATAAAAATCAAGAAAGATTCAAAAAACTTGGACGTAACAAGATAAAACGTAGACAATGTAGCAAATCTGATGAAACTATCAAAGTATTCAAACACTCCATACTAAACTTCAAAGGTCTTCCTGATCACCTCTTCGGCTTCCTTCGCATGATGTTCGCCGATGGCTGTAGCCGTCCAGGCCAACTCAGGTCGACCAGCAAATACTGGCTAAAAATACTTCATATAAAAGCAATTCTTCTTCTACCTACTCTTGCACCCGCGCACGTGCTAGGCTAACGCGGGTACGAAAAAATCGCTGTCGTTTTTGCACAACAAAGCTTCGCATTCAAAATTGTAAGCCGAAAAAAAAAACACGGCGGGCGCAATCGGCAATCATAAAAACTGCGTACGCGCGGAAATGAACAGGATGATGGAGTAAATGGTACATTGAGCACATAGGACAAAATGACGCGGTGAGAACTGTACGAAAAGTTGCACTATGAAAAGAGTAAAGGTAGTAAAAACTTACACAGAGTTATCGAAATCATGAAAACAGCAGGTAATTTTCAAGCGGCATATTCATTATCAACAACTTCAAAAAAAAAATCCCAAAAAATCGAACCAACCGATATTCCTAGAGCATTTTCGAATCGTGGCCGGACAAAAGACCATGCACCTGCGTTACGACCCTCTTCTTGAGACCATACAAATTCTGCGAAAAGATTGAAAAATTCGTGCTCGCTTTGATTACTCTTCTCTCAAGCAGTTATCACCATCGCTAATGCAACCCATAAGCGTATCAATCAGGAGCAGGTTGTTGATACGTTGCACTTTGTGCGCAAGCTTTGGCACGCGCAACACATGCACATTTGCATGTGTTTGCGTAACCGCTCAATGCTCAATCCGTGGCGGTGAACGCTTTGATGCATTTTTTGATAACACCTATTACAAATAATACACACCGCCTTGTAGCCGAAGAGATACAAAGACCAGCTAATCATCCGTGAATGGAGGGAAACTGATGGAAATAGCGGGAAAGACCAAATCTATGCAAACGCTATGCATATTCAAGGCACGCGCCTCATCAACATAATTGGCACAAAAGCGGCTGTATATACGTGCGCACCACGAGGTGGTCGATGTTGAATGAGCAGAATATCAGCAGCTTTAGGAGAATTACATGACGTCTGGTCTAAGAATATTTAGGGTGTCCCAAAAAAATGTGAACACTGTTTGATCGTTGATAACTCCGTTGCTTTCGTGTCTTTCGCCGAGCTTGAGGCATCTTTCTGTAGAGCGAGGACAACTTAGATTTACAGTATGAAGCAAAATCTCTCTTCTCCCTTTGTTACTGTAGGATTACGGTATGAAATTCTAGCATATAAATCCATTCTGAAATATGCCACTTGGCAAAATTTTTTTCAAAAAATCTGAAAAACTGTGTGCTAGGGTTTTCGCGCGCGCTGATTCCACTAAACAATTTTTCACAAATGTTTTTAGCTTTTTTGACTGTGTAATCGCATTTTTGACATATGCTAGAAATTTAATTATTGAGGTTTACCTGGGATAGCCTTGGAAAGAAGCGTCACAGTAAAGGGGAATTTTCATATTCGAAATCAGCGGCTTCCATTATCATAGTATAAAAATTTCTGGCTTGTTTGGTTTTGTTCCGAGGCAGAATACGGCCTTTGATTGCTCAAAATCCTTGTCGAAGTTCTTACCGCAACTTATAGTAATGAAGAGCAATCGTTGATTCGCTTCATACTGCAGATCTAAGTTGAACCTCGCTCTACAAAATGGTGTCCAAGCTCGGCGAAAGACATGAAAGCAAGGGAGTTACTAACGATCAAACAGTCACATTTTTTGTGACACGCTGTACTTCAAAGCTGAGGGCAAAAGGAGATAGAACCTATACTCCGCCACTAGATGGACAGTAGAGAGCGTGGAAGGGTTTTACTCCGATGTGATAGTTTGGTGCTAAGGAAAACGTGTACACATTTTTAGTCTGTAAGCAGTGTGGGAGTCGGGGAAACTCGACTATGTGAATACTGATTTGGGTACCCTAATAAAGCCATTAGGCAACCGGCAGCTCATAAGGTTTATTCATGGACGAGAAATGAACTTCAAACTTCTGCCCAGTACCGTATTCTCTCCGAACGGACAAACCTCACGTACGCTGCTGTGCAAGATGAGAGTGATTTTGAGTTCAAGGCGAAATATATATCGAGTCATTATTTGGTAACTTATTCTAGGGTTCCAAACGGTGGAAATTTGCACTTCAACTAATCGATATCCAATCACATCAAAAGGGGCAAGGAAACAAGGAAAGGTAATGGAAATGAACAGGTTTCGATCTTGCAAGTCGTCAAGTGATGCCATGGTAGGCAATGCGCACATTAAGCTACAAATGATTCAACCGTAATTATGATGTACATCAAACGTTGCATTCAAAGTCGGCTTCTTTTTGAAAAAGGTTGTAATTTTATTTCGCAAGTTTTCACGTCGCTTGAGACTGTGAAGACACGGAGATAATAAATCCTGCTGCACTTTGATCAAACAAATTCAAACTCGCACTGGAAACTTTACTTTCCCAAACAACACCCTCCATCTCGGCGCCGACTAGAGTCATAAAACTGAAAGTTCTGTTTATGCAAAGCACCTCTATAAAGTCAATACCTTCTTGTGAATACCGATCTTCGTTTATGGTCTGGTTTATGATTTCGCGAGCCATTGCTAGCCAGGAATGAAGATAGACTTGAAACTCGTAAAAGCAGTTCTTATCTAAGATACGTTACTGGCATCTTTCATCTTCTTTTTTATATTCGAGGATTTACGCACGATTTGAGCGGAATTTTTTTTACGACCGCATCAGCCGTCGCCGAATTCTCTTTTCATTACCTCGTAAACATAGCAAGCACCTGCGCGTAAAAAAGACAGAAATTCGCGCGACCGTAACGACGGTGAGGGATTAGAGGTGGAGAGGATTAATTCGCCTAGAGACTGGGGAAGCGGAGGAGATGGATCATGGAGGCAGATCGTTACAAGAGGACTCGACTGCCAGGTTCAAGTGATCTCAAGCAGTCAAAACACAGCTGGCTAGTCGTCGAGATTTGCGATTGTTTACTGATATCATCTAACCCTCCTAAGCGGGTCAATAAAAGGGTCAATTGTTAGGGGGAAGCAGATGTTACTATCACAACACTTAGGAAATTCAAAATCTCTTTAAAAAAATATATTGTAATTAACGATCGATAAAAAATACTAGTAAGGTACTGTAAGGCTTACTTGTTGCTTTCGGGTACCGCTTCAAAGCTTCCCTCAAATCCTGCACTGGGAATGGACACAAGCTCTCGACCCTTACAATCGCTACCGTATCCTTCAATCCTCTCTCATCTCGTGCCTTCTCCACGGCAATCCAATGCTTTCCACAAGTCAAAATCACCTAAGATAAACGATCCCCATCATTCAAATACTTCTAATTCCAATGCGACGCACGCACAAAGGTCATCTCGACGTCGTCACTAATCACTTGCTGACTTCTTACCTTGGTAACTTTTTCTGCTTTACATGTGTTATCGTCGATCACATTTCGAAAGTGCGTTCCTGGTGCGAATTCAGACAAAGACGAAGCGGCCTGTAATCGTTGTTAATTAACTGTTTGATACATTGAACTGCTAAACAACGAACGTTGACACATTCAACATCTGCTATGCGCGAGAAAAAACAGCCAAAAAACATCAGTCAATTTGCTTTTGGAGGCAGTGTTCGCAAATCTGGGTATCTGAATTTCTTACGAAAGATTAAATGAGAGGCCTCATTGGTTCATCGTCCAAACGGCTGTTTACGAGAGTCATAAATAGCCAGGCAATGTTAAATTCTTGCCCAGACCGTATTAACTACAGTACTTGGGACGCTGATTTGTCCGCTCGTAAAGAGTACGATAGTGGGCGAATTTGTATTATGTCCTGACCACAAATGAAGTATAAGAGATGCACTGATGGTGGTTTGGTTAGACCCTCCCAATCACTTCGTAATAATTCAGGTTATTATGCCAAGGTGCTGCCTCCGATTAATACGAAAGGTTTTTTCTTCGACAAAAATTCTAGATCAAGCATGCAAGAGGAATAGGTATGTATCCAAAGGTAAATAGCACCTTTACGAAAACTTTCTAATATTCTAGCAGAAAATAACCAGTTTCATCAGTTACAAGTTCTAGTTGGACGAGAATTTGTTTCCATTCAAACGCATCCAACACTTCCGTCTTTCAACTACCGCCACAGAGACATTTTCGTTGTCAGTGCGTTGTTCTTCACTACCATTCAGACAGCCGTGCGCTTTGCCCTTCTACATATAGCCTCAGCCGAACAAAGACGTCAATGAAAAAGAAACGACGGCGGTATTGGCTTTGATCCAACGTGGCTCCATAGCTGCGATGGCGGTCACCAGCGGACGGCAATTGGTTTCCGCAATAACAGGAAGAACAGGACATTGGCTCGATCTCATTGAGATGCGATCAGCTGACGCGCTGAGATCATCGCACCAAACAAAGATGTCGACACATTAACACCAGCACGGATAAGTAATGTTATTCGTATACTGGGGGCAGAGCAGAGGGAAAAAAATCTTTGAGGCTAGGCTTTAAGAAAATATGTCAGTGAGACTACACAATGTGTTCAGAAAAGACACTCTTCAACAAAAAAAAAGAGTGATATAATAGATTTACCTTAGGATGGCGAAGAATCATTTTGGGAGCCACAACGACGAGAGGCTTCCGGTAGTTGGGTATCACCTGAAAAAGCAATAATCTCATTTTATAGGAAGATCTGTGAGGAAAATTTGTGCCCAGATTTTACGTCCCCCTACATTATGTAGTCGTCTACAGTTGTGATATTTTACGCAATCCAATATAATTACTTGTTTTCTGTCCATTCAAATGCCACATTTCAAAGTTCAGCTTGGAAACCAGTTAGAAGAAAAGCAGAAGCCTTTTTATATGTATTTCGGACTCAGTCTTTTCTTCATAAGCTTCCACTTTCCTGACCTGTGAGATCTTTGGTTTTTTTCAAACTGACGAAGTTTTACTAATTTTAAGTATTTGAAAGCTCAAGCTATTTAATGAAGAGCAAACTTCACAGAACGGCATGCGGATAAGAATAATTTTTACATTTCCTACCGGATTTCGGATTCAATGACCATGGTATAAATCGTGCCGATAATTTCGCGTTTCCTTGAACTCAACAAATTACCCTAATCGAGATTGATGGTTCAATGTGATACCATAAAATTCGTCAGTGGCGGCGCCGATTCTCAATCTCAAACCGCAGTTTAACACAAAAAAGGAATTCGAAAGTCGGTCATACGGATCATGGTAAATTGGTCAACATATTGTCGGATTCTCTACTAACAAACACATCCAGGACGAGTTTTTCGGGATTAAAGGAAAATACCAACAATTTAAAAATAGAAAATTTCACAGCAAGAGGTTGTGAATGACACTAACTTCAATCGCTGACTCAGCCCTCCCTGACAAAGCAATCGCGATGGATAAAATTTTGACTTTATTATGTCTTCGTCAACACATAATTAGTATGTCGATCTCAATAAGAGCTTCATTTCTTTTCGATTCTCAAACAAATCTGGCTGAGGTTCGTAAAACTAGTACTATAGACTTCGCAGAAAATTCGTTTTCAATGCTGTTTCTTCAGCACAAAATAGCCAGGATAAAACAACAAACCATCCAATCCTACGCTCCGCATTCAACAAAAATCCACATAATTACTAACTTCTTTCGGTGCCATTTGCGCAACGAAAATTTGCTTAGGTGCCCAGCTGTATGTATACAATTTAACATGACATGGATACGAATGAATCATGATTTATCCCCTCCTGCTATACAAACAAGGGCGACACCATTGCGAGAGCAAAGCGACATACTGTAACAACCACAAAGAGCTCTCCAAAAAGTACCTTCCAAAGTTGTAGCAGTTTTGGACCTAAAAACTCTACTCGTCGTAATCCGATGATTTTAGCTAATAACAAGATTTGTCCACTCGATTCGTTTGGAATTATCAATTCTTTGCAAATTGGCTAAAGCAGACTCGAGGTACATAAAATCCTCCTCATCAAGAAGAAAGCTATGTCAAAGATCTCAGTAGCTCTGAACCGTCTCCGGTTTACTGTATCGCACCAGACTAACAAGGAAAAGCAGTACGATTGCCAGAAACTAAGCATCGTCTAAATTCTATGCATTTTTTTCATCTCTGAGCTAATTACAACCCTTATTCCGAGATGAGAAGTTTATGAAATGACCGACCTGTCTCCTGAGAAGATGGAAGTATTGAGCAGAGGTAGTCGGATTGGCAATTCGAAGGTTGATATTCTCTCCATCTACTGGCTTTTGATCTTCGCGGGAGTCACACAATTGCAAAAACCTTAATTCTCCAATTCATTGAAGGACCATAACTTTACACAAAACACCTTTCCATTCTGCATGTGCTGTGTTCTGGGCCTGCGCCATCTATACCATGAGGTAGAAGAAGGGTCAAGCCAGATTGCGTCAGCCATTTGCCTGAAAATGCCTCATCGGCTATGCAGAAACGATACCATACCGAAACTAATTTGACTGGTATTCACCTTCGGCGCTGGCAAGGAAAGTATCAATGATGATCTGCGCTCCGTTGAAGAAATCACCAAACTGTGCCTCCCAAATGCACAGCCGCCGAGGATTTTCCATTGAATACCCGTACTCAAATCCAAGGACAGCTTCCTCTGATAGGATATTGTTAGCGACCTGAAAACATCACTAAGGCATCTACTTGTACAAAAACGAGACCCAACCTCCAAGTACGCCTTCTGATCATTTGCAATATGATTGAGTGGAATATGTGTGAGATCCGTATCATTATCCACCAACATTGCATGTCTGTAAAAGCGACATGTAAATTCCTTTTATGGTCAACGCCTTCGAGTAAGGTTACTGATTGGTCCCAGAAAAGACTACGGTTTGAGCGAAGGCTTAAAACCGACTTTCTTGACCATGAATAAATCTTAAGAGTTGCTTAGGGAATAAAGAAGTCCAGAAACCTAGTCACTCGAACAAACACCCTTAAAGACTTTATGTAGCTATGCACCTGAAACTGAACGTAGCTCGTCCAACGTCTTGTCCACTAATTCGCACGTCGTTTCCTTCCATGAGCAGCGATCCAAAAGCAAGGGCCTGAAACACTGCCCCTACTTCATAACGTAAAAAGGAATAAGCAAGTCAAACCTCAGCAGTTCCCCAGTCTATATTCTCTCCGGATTTCATTTTTTGCATCCTAGCTTCACAGTGCGTTTTTTGCAGGTGAGGGTGGACTTTCTAGAAATCTTACTAGGAAAAGAGCCTCAGAAATAACTCGGAAACTCACAAATCCTTCAGGAACTTTGACTGATGCAGCGCCCACATACTTCAGAAGGTTCACGTCACAACCAGTATCCCATTTCTGAACCTCGGCTGGGGCTTGCACAAAACCTTTCCAGTTACCTTCCAAGTGCTTCGCTCTAAAACAACTCCACAATACTCAAATTTTTAACAACTTCACATTGCTCAAATTTTTGACAGTGAAGCGCACATAATAAATTCGATAACAGCTCGCTTCAGAAGGGAAATTGTAGAAAATGAGGGACAGAACGATGGGAACAAAAACCATCACTTACACAGGAGGGGTGGAATCAATCGCTCTGAAGGATTCCGTCATTTTTGCCGAATGCTGTTCTTTTATGGCTTCAACATCATCTTCTTTCATCAAACCTTCATTGATCAGATCATTGACATAATGGCGTGGGACTGATTCCCGGCATTCGATAATCTGTGGCAAGAAAGAAGATTATTCCTACGTTATAAAGCAGTAGCTAGTTTCACTTACCCTGTACATGAGAGGTTGGGTAAACGACGGGTCGTCTAGTTCATTATGTCCCCAACGACGGAAACACTGCATGTTGATAAAGACATCTTTGCGGAATTTTTCGCGGTAAGCCACAGCCAACCGTGTGGCTTTAACGACTTCCTACGACCAATGAAAAGTAGAAAACGAGAAGAAGACGATGGAACGTAGACGCTAACCTCGGGATGATCGCCATTAACATGAATCACCGGGTACTCAAAAGCTTTAGCAATGTCTGAAACTCTATTTTTTCCAAAAAAAAATGTAATATGGCTTATCCGTAAGAGCGAGTTTTTGATTGGAACTTGGTTTCGAAATTTTTTGATGCTTACCAGTACAGTGAGTAGAAGACCTCCCAACGTGCGCTTCAGCAGTGAAAGCTACTTGGTTATTCGTAACCAAATGGATTGTTCCCCCTAGCCGGAAATGTGGTGCTTGACTGAGGGCAATGGACTCCCAAACGATACCCTATAACCCCTCCGTTTGAAAAAACCACTTAACGAAAAAATGGGTAGCTGCAAACAGACCTGTCCTGTAAATGCGCCATCTCCATGAACAAGCACAGATAATACACCATCTCCTGTTCGTGCCGAACGCTCTCTCGAATAATCACCTAAGCCCAATGATCTAAACATTTTGTAGGGAACTCGGAAGCAAAAACTCGTACTGAGATCTTCCTACCTAGCTCTAGCGCGTGCTTTACCCATTGCGACTGGATTTACTGCCTCAAGGTGGGATGGATTTGGGAGCATTGAGATATGTACAGTGCCTTCAGGTGTCTGGTGATCGAAAGAGGAGGCTTAAAAAATGAAAACGGCATCGAGATGTTAGGAAAAATCTGTTTTATATCGCTCAGCATTACCTAACTTTCATGTTATTCAGAGAACTGAATATTTTCTACCTACTAATGATGCTGCGTCTTTTTGAGAAATTGTAGAGCTCCAAAGTTTGCAATAGTATAGTACGGGTGGCGCAAAAAAAGTTTTTCGAGAGGAGAAAGGAAAATCTTATAGAGGGACTTTTATTTTTGAAAAATTCGGAAAATCATTCTGGTCAATTTAAACCAAAATAAGTATTCATGATTATGCTTCATGTAGACGACATTCAAAACTTACTTAGATGCGAAAGCACATCACCAGATCCTTGAACATTATCCGGAAACTCTGGCTTTCCTTTCATCTGTAGATAAAGGTATACTAGCTCATTCATGGTGTAACGGCCAGTAGAATGAGACTGATATAAACCACCTTTCTAAACATCTGCACCACTGGAAACTGCATAAGCTCAGAAAGAAGATTTAAGCGACCGCGATGAGCAATTCCAATGAAAATCTGGAAAGATTAAGGAGATCAAAGGTTTCAAAAAAAAACCTGATGGAAGAACAGGACAGGAATCTTCCTATTACTTCCTCATAACCAGTTAGCCAATCCCCTAGCAAACTTTCAGTGCTCCAGTCGGGTTCCGTCACTGACTGCCTGTTGCAAACCTCATGATGAGCAATCTTTTCGATTATGGCCGTCTTTGACCAACGAACTTACCTTGTCAAATTCGCGTTTTGTTGTAGTGAATCTTGACGCGAAACTACGATTATGTCACGACTGGTTCATGCACAATCATAACGTCGAAAGAAATTCCAGTATCAGATTTTCAGTGTAAGCATCTCCGCAGGAATGGCAAAAGCCATGACTCATATGTTCAAGGCGTGACAGCCCTGCTCAACCTCAAGGAGTCGGGCCTCCGTCATCAAGTAGCCGACTGGTCACCTACCGTAGCCATCCTCGTTGATGCCAAACCGACGGTACCGCCCCCTACCTGCCATATCCTGCTCCACGATGATCTACCTTACTACGGTTATTCCTGTACTGCTTACCGTATTCCATTGCTGTCTTCACATCCAAACTAACGAGGACTGATCGAAGTTCGGGATCTCGCTAGCCAGTAGCACGTAGCACTACGACGCTGACTTCACAGTAGTGGTCATATCTCGCTTCAGTGTGGACGAGTTCTGAATCCAATAGCACCGTTCGATTCGGCCCGACGAAGCGCAACCTTTGATATACATAGAGGTGCCAATATGGTCACGGTGGGCGCGTTAGGCAGCCAGATTCCACAAATGCTTCCAGATTTGCTTACGGTTGGATACTCAGGGTGCTTAATTACTGCACACTAGTTTACCTACATTGCAAAAAACTGTAATTATTCGTGAAATCTGGCGGCCTACCGTGCACATGTCGTATCCAAAAAATGCCTCTAGATATCAGAAAATGCGCCTTGTCAACACGAATTGAAAGGTGCCCTTGGAGTCAGATTTCGTCCAGTAAAGCGAGATATGTCCACGCCACGGTGCTCTTACCTTGCTTAAGTGACCGTTGTGTCTTTTTCAAAGAAATCCTGAGCCATACTATACATTTGCCCGCCTGAGCTTAATAGTATGACAAGATATACATCCCGAAACAAAATCGCATCTTAGGAAAAAATTTGCTAATTGTTCATCTGCTCCGCTGTATCCAACATCTACTTTACTGCGCTGTTAACAATACGAAACATGCCCTCCAATACCTTTCAAACGTCTCCAGTCCTGTTTCAAAACATGACATTCTATTCCGAAATGGCGAAGTCGGAAATTCGCAAAAGTACTACAGCTTGTAGCAGAAATTGGCAGAACACGTAGATCTACTGGTTAGTTATCGTTGGAATGAAGTTTTGCTCTACCTCAACATAACCGACCAAGAATTATCACCTCTCACCTGCTGAATATCCTTTTCAGGTGCAGAATCAAAAACTTCCGAAAAGAAGCCATACATTGCCTCGGCACCCTCGCTACCGTACCTTTTCACTGTTGGAAACTTCAGCGCCAAAAACTGATCAAAATTCTATAAAACGTATCCTTTACAGCAAGAATTTCACAAACCTTCCTATACACTACAAAAGTATGTATACCTCACACTTAAGCATTATCTTCGCTAGCTTCAGTCGATCATCAGTGGTAAGTTCTTCGGAAACTGAACTCTCGAAGTGCTGCGCTAACCATTGACGCTCTTCCCAGTTCTATAGAAAACATATTCAAGGAGAAATGTGAGTTAACGGGAGTTACACTTACATTTATATGCATGAACTCAATTGCCATTGGACCACAATAGATTGTCCGTAACTGCTCTGCAAGGTCATCCAAATAAAGATTTTTTCCGGGAAGAGCATCTTCTGGTGAAAGGCCGTAGATTTCAGGATTCAGTTCAGGCACCCTATACAAGACTATACAATTAGAGTCACAATTTAAGGATGTCTTTCGAGCTACACTTACTCCTTATGTGGTTGTAAACGCAAGGGGTCCAATTCAGCTTGCAAGTATCCGTATCTGCGGAAGGCATTTATCAAATGCACTCGTTGACTATCTTCTGGCCGAATGCATCCTGAAACGAAAGAATGGCAGTGGAATTCGATATTTGTGGCAAAATTAGATTCACCTTCTGACAAAAATGCGCTCTTGGGAGGATCTGGTAGATGTCCAAATTCGGTCGCGCCAGCCCGGTACGTCCGATATGGCACACCTATAGGGATTATATAAACCGGAAGATTTCACATCGGCGGTTAAAGGATATTTAGTTGACCCCAACTGTCACTACTTGCCATTCGCGGCCTCCTTAGCCCAATGCTGTTTACATACCGCACAACAAGACAGTGAGCAAACGACCAGAACGCGCCATATGCAGCTCTCAATCCTCCCTTACTCTTTATTTACTTCATTCTGTCTACCTTATATAAAATGGTAAAAAAATCATACTTTCGAGATACTGCATGCTATTTGAGTACCATTCTTTTGGAGAAGACACGGAGTAGCGAGAACTCTCAGAGATAAAGCCCAGGTGGAAACAAAGGGAGTCTTGTCTAACAAGGGAAGGATGGTCAGTCGATGTGGCCTTTTGGATGATTTGTATACGATGTTGGAGGGCTGATGCCTTAAAATGCTGATTTCGAATCTGTCCTTCTTATCTGCGGAGCGCTCCTGGACGAGGAGTTATGAGCGTTTGAAGGAACAAAAAAAAAGAATGTTTTCTGAGATAAAACAGTTTCAAAAATTTTCCCAGCGCTTGAATGAGACAGCCGGAATGCGGATGTATCTCACCTAAGAGTATTTATTTTAGAGAGTGCTGGAAAGATTACCACTGGTCCATTTAAGCACTAGAAAAGATGTTACTACTGTTTTTATGTTATTTGCACATTCAGTTTTTTTCTCCACTAAACGCTCATAACTGCAGGAACGTGCTAGATAATGAACACAGATTTAAAATCAGCGTTTTATGCCCTCTAACAAGGTCTACGACCCATCTCAAAAGGCCGCTTCGACAAACCATCTTTCCCTCGTAAGCACTGCCCAAACGGAGCTCTTATGCTTCATCCGTAGCCGAAAAACATCTCTCAGCCTCCACTCAGACTGTGCATTTGCGAGCGGAACAATCAGCGTACCTTGCCTGAGCACGCTGGTTGTCCATTCAGATATAGTACGGTCTGGGCAAGCTTCGAAAGTGAATCTCCGGCCACAAACAAATAACAAGCTGCCGTTTGAGCTATAGCATAAATTGAATCATTAAATTAGATCACCACCACCCTCTCAGAAGCAGAGTCCAGGCCCTGGCACGTAGAGCTTCCACTGGAAAGTGACTGTGGGGCCATAGCCAAGACACTTTCCAAGCGACAGCGCCATGTTTCCAGACTGCTGGGTAACGCAGCAGCTTACAGTCTATCCCAATCTCAACCCGGTCAAAATTGGCATGAAGGGAGTCCCTATTGCTAGCGTTTTGCGTCACGCATACGCTTGCTTGTCTACTCTCTCTTCGATCTCTTTGCTCTCCCGACAACGCGCATATGCGGCGCAAATCCGTAGCGCTGCGAACGCGTAAATTCACGTCAACGGTTCGGTTTGGTCCCGATTGGGACAGACTGTACAGCCATATAAATCGCTATCGCTGTAAGCCCGATCAATTGCCCCGGTAATCATCAAAAGATACTAAGCAGTCCTTTTCATGTGAACTCTTTTTATTTCTTCACGGTCATCTAATCAGACGAGCAAAGACCAGGAGTTCGACCAAGAAAGTTGACAGTTGAACTATTTCCTGTGGCCGTATTCATTAACGAACCCTGAGGGTTAAAGTTACCCTCCAGGGTTAGTTTAACCATCAGGATTCATTGGCCGTATTCATCAATCATAGGGTAGGGTTTACCACGGAACGCAATCCACCCGTATCGATCAACAGACTTGTGGCCGTACTCATCAACTCTGAGGGTTAAACTAACCCTGAAGGGTTAAGGCGTCAGTTACGCGTGCCCTGTGCAAACTCGCATCACAGAATGCCTAAGTACGTGCTGAATTCACTTTATTCTTCTATTCTTTCACTATTATAGTAGTATAGTCAACGAATAAGCTTCTAGCACTAGTTCTTATAATGCATCTCTAGCATACTTGTGCAGTATCCAATCTTACAGCGTGAGTTTATTTTCAGGTATGCGTTTGTGCAGTGTTAGTTCTACTTTTGCGCAGTTCGTTTTATACCGGGCTTGTGCTACTCTTTTAGTCAATGCGTGTTATCATAAAGGGGTTCTTCAGTTTTGACTCTTGTCATAATGGAATGCGCAACCATTTTTCCTCGTCGCATTCATTTGTCACCAAAGCTAGACTTCTTCTTCTCGCGAAGTCAGTGTTTCATGTACTTCGAATTTGAACATAAAACGAAGTCGAAACTAAATACTGTAACATACCAAATACTATACCAAATACTACAATACTCGTTGATCGTTTTCCAAACTATTAGATGCGAGTAGATGTTTGTATGAAGTGTTAGGGTAGAGCTAACCTTGCTGTAAGCTAGGGTTAAATTAACCCTGATGAATCACGTAAGTTTCACCCTCCAGGGTTAGTTTAACCTCCAGGGTTCGTTGATGAATACGGGTTAATTGCTTTTGGGGTAAGTTTAACCCTCAAGGGTGGATTTAACCCTCAGGGTTCAGCCTACCCTGTTTTCATGAATACGGGTTAATCGCTTTCCAAGATTAAACTAACCCTCCACGGTTCGTTGATGAATACGGCCACTGGTCATTGTGATGTGGTATTCCGTTGCCCAAGGCACACTAGCAAATGACTGCAAAATGCTTTGCAATTGGTCCACAAGTGTCAGAAGATTGGAGACCAAATCTCACGTCGCTCCTCTTCTCATTCCTCTCAATGCCTCTGAACACTGATCACCTTCTACTTTTTATGAGAAAACGCAGTGCACTTTGCAAAAGATTGTTTTTCACTCATATAATCTAACAATCCAACATGAAAACACATGGCGAAGGAGCAGGACTATGTTTGCTCATCACGTGGGTGTCTACGGTGCTGCGCTTTCGGAATGGTGGCATTCTCTCACAGCTGCTTCGTCTACTGACGTTCTCGAATTCGAAACAGACACTGCTCATTTGACTATGGAGGTCGAGATGGAGGAAATGGGCACGATGGGCTCATCAGCTCGAGAGCCAATCCATCACAAGAAGAACAGGTCAGTGATGAAATACTTTGTAAAGAATTCAAGTTTAAACCTCATCGGGTTGTTAAAATCTCCCAAATCCTATTTTCTTTCTCTTTTTCTACGCAAAAAGCTTGTCTGAGAATGACGATTTCCTAGTTTATTTTCATAGTGGAGTCACAAGTCTTATGTCATTCCCGGTGTTTGCACAAGAAGGGTGGAAAACAAGCCCGCGAACGCCGCACTCAGCCATAACCCCATACGAAACACTAGTATCGATTTCAATATGGAAGCAAGCCAAAAGTAGATTAAAAAAATCACAATCATTTCAGAAGAATGCTGCATGCTCTGAGTGAGAAGGACCGGTCATTTATTGCAATTATAGTATTGTAAGTTTATCAGCTATGTTCATGTTTCTCTTGCCCATATCCACCGCTCCTTCTCAAATTCAACAAATCTCGTGCTACTTCAATACTCAACATCCATTCCCAACTGGAAAAATCAACAGACTATACTTAAAAACTGTTATAGTACGAGCCTGACTGCGACTGTAGTCCCGGAACTTATCGAATTAATCGAAACTTTTTTCTGCATCTTTTGCCTATATCTTCTACGAAAACAGCGAAAAGCTTTGGAATCTACAGTAGCCTGCACGCCTGACTAAACCTTGTAACCAAAATTTTTCAAACTGACAAACTATGAACGCCTGACTAAACCTTGTAACCAAAATTTTTCAAACTGACAAACTATGAAACGGTAGTTTCATCAGTCCATGTGTCCAAAAACCGCGTACTTTTGTAGATGAGCAACTAGGATAGCGAGAACCGTCGCGTTCTTCGCTTTCAGAAGATATATAGTTTAATCAGGGTCGCATAGTTAACTTGGTGAAGGGAGGCACAGAGGATGAAAAAACCTGTAACTCTTTGATGAGCAGCGGACAACAGAAGAGCGTCATTGAAAACGCATGTTTTATGCTCTCGAAAGATGTGTGGCTTGTTCAAAAGAACATGTTGTCTCGAAACATTTGAATCACGAACTGTTCCTTTGTTTCTTTGCTTACCTAATTCAAAAGACTCCCTTTCTTATCAGTCAGTCTAAAGTCAATTTAAGGATGCAGAATGTAAATCAAATGGAAGAAAAGGGAACGTTTCGAATGACACATTTTTTAAATAATCGTTCCGACACAATAGTAAAATTTGGAATCGAACTTTGCCAACGTCTGTGGACACGAGGTAGATTGTGATATAATTTCGGCCACGAATGGAGCAATTGTAAATGCAATTACTAGGCGGCCAAATAGATCTATTGCGGTCATCACCTTCGCTAGTACGAGTGATTTGCTGACAAGGGCGTTCACAAGCAATGCATGATTCTTCTCTAGCCTAAAAAATTTGCACAGCCAAAACTGAAATTTGAACTACAAGCTACTGAAAAAGCAGCGGCTCAGAATTCCTATTTCAGCATATCCGCTCTAGCTATCGCCCTTATCACACTAGCCATAGTGATGTTCGTCTACGTCTTATAAGCACCTTGAAAGGAACAACCCTGTACAGAAAAGGACCCCTCTCCCCCTACGTAGAACCCCTTCAGCAGAAGAAGAATAGCGTGCGGTGAAAACTTGTGATCTCATTACCCATGCAGTCAGTAAATGTCACATTCATTGCATTTCAGATGTATGTACGCACTTAATGTTCTCTCTTCCAAGCCTCTTGGTCACCTGACCCATCTGATGTGTAACTAGTTCAGACATTACAGCAGTCGAAAATTGCTCGCATTTTAATGAAAAAAGAAAAGCAGAGAAGCGAAACTGACTGCACGAAAAGATATCTCGATACGAATAACTCACCACACCATCGCAGGCCTTGTTGTACAAGCCGTACTCGCCCCAACATTGCCGCCCTCGTCTACCCTGAATACGCTGCTACCTCAATTATTGTACTGGCTGCCTCATTACTCTAACTGCATATCTCTCATGTAACTGAAGAGTTGTAGGTGGAACGAATAAAAGTGCAAGCGCTGAGGCCGATTTGCAATAGAACTGATTGTGCTGTTTATCGCTCCGAGTTCGGAACTGGCTATCTTTTACTCCGCCTACATATCTTCTACTAATGTCATTGTATGCCATCAATAAATATAACTGCTTGAAGATCTGGTAGATAAACAATGGTATTGCAACTTCTTGACATGCATACACAAATTTGTCTATATATTTTATTCAATGGGAAAAGATCTTTGGAAAAAAAATTGCAAATATAACCTCGAAATTTTCGAAGAAACATCACAATATGGTGCAATGTGCTTTTGCGCTCGAATCCAAACAAAGATGTGCAGAAAGTTTGTACAAAATGGTGACTGACAGATTAACTTCAACTCAGTTGAAGAAAAAAGAATATAAAATGCGTTAGGAAATAGATGAGATAGGAACAAACTTGCAAAAATAAGAGATTTGAAAGTGATGAGATCTGCTAGACCAGATTCAACTTCACTAAACCACTGCTTTGGTAAGTCTGCTGTTGAGGAACAACAGACTGCGAACGCTGAACACCCAGCATCTGCTGAGCCGGCTGTTGCTGCTGCATCCACTGATTGGTTGTGCTCATTCCGGCGTATGGTGCATCTGAAATGGAGGACAGATAAGAGCGTTTAGTATAGCTAGAACCGCTTATCACTGTTTTTGAAACTGACAGAGACGTTACAATGAGACAACAAGTGCACAAGAGCTGCAAATGCACTTACACAGCACCTCTACCCACTAGTACAAAATTCTGTATTACGTTAGGTATCTAGTCTCCCAGATTTGACGCTTGATATGGTATCTTTGCGAAGCTGAACAATAAAAGCGCGGCAACAATTGCCATGTCTACATCTACAGTCTTGACAATTTCCTGCTTAAAAAATGTTCGTGTAAATCTATTTTAGGATTTTGCACCCTATGGCCATTTTCTCTCGCAAACTTAACGCATCGTAGAACATCTGGCTCAAAATTATCTACCATCCCTAGTGGGAATACGAAAAACTAGAAGTGGAAAAAGTCGGTGTCGCAATACCTAGATCTCTGTCAGATCTACTATAATGGTACTTAATGAATTGATATTTTCAGCAACAAAGTATAATTTTCAGTAAAAACAATTCGATGGTCCACAATATATGGGCTATAAACGAGCTATGGAGGATAAATTCATGCACATACTCAAAGTTGTCTGCTGTGGCTGTGTCATTCCAAGTGTTGTGCCTTGCTGCTGATGTTGTGCCTGTTGTAATCCAACTGTTTGCCTAAATTAACAGAGCCACATCAGCTCACCAAGAAAAACATGAAAGTAGAAATGGAATAAGCTTACAGGTATTGCTGTGTGGTCATTGGTGCTGAAGACTGAACGCCGATTGCAGGGGTCTGCTGCTGGATTGTCTAGGGCACAGTTTTATGAGAACAAAAAAAAGGATCATGTACACTTTCTGCCTACCTGTGCATACGGTACGGCTACAGGAGTGGGTTGCTGTGGTACTCCAACCACTTGCTGCGGTACGGCTGTTTGCGTAGCGTACATTGTGGGTTGTGGGGTTATATAGGTGGTTTGCTGCGGAACAACCTGCGGCACGGCCGCAACTTGTTGAACAGGCGGAGCTGCTGCTGCTGCATAAGGAGCCTAAAAAGCACTTTCAATAAAGGCAATCCCAGCCAGAATTCAAACATTTCCAATTAATTACTGCAGCAGGCTCCCCTTTCAAGACATAGCCCCACTACGGCTGCAAAATGCTTTCTGGAGCAAAAAAGATACAGAAGTCCCGAATAGCCGTCCACGATTCAGTCTTGTCCTTGCCCAAGCACGAGATCGTGCGGGACACGGTCGTTGCAATTTCACCGGCTGTAGCGGCGTGCCCGGCCACGCTTTCGTGCTGGAGTAAGGCACCCGCCGTACTCGATTTTCTTGATCTACTTGCTTCGTGCATAACGTGCATCACTAATTTCATTTGGCGTAGCTACAGCGTACTTGCCGTAACCATACGAAATTCCTTCTTACCTATGATAGGTGCAGAGTAAGCGAATATTTTGTTCAGCTTCGTTCAGCTGCAGAAGGCGCGCAGAATTAATGTCTGGTGCATAATCTCTACTGCTGCCCAGGCCTGCTTCAGCTGCAGGTCCCGCACAGAATCAACGTTAATTCTGTGCGCCTTTTGCAGCTGAATGAAGCTGAACAAAATATTCGCTTACTCTGGCACCTACCTAAGCGGCGCCAAATGATAGACTGTTGTGTGCGCGCGTTTTGACCGAAGCGAATCAAGCGGATCAAACGGATCGAGTGCATCAAGCGGTTCAAGAGGAGTATTGCAGATGCCTAAGGACGACACTAAATTGAGGGCGGCTATGTCAGAAGCGATTCTCGCGCAAAAAGCGGTATTCTGCACTCGCCATCGGGCTATGACTTGCAGAGGGAAACCGCTTCAGTAATCCGTTGGAGTTGGGGCCTCCTAAATCTGCCCGGACACTGCCTTTTTTAGACATTGTTCATGACATTGAAACTCACCTTCAATGAATAAGGATGACTTCCGCCCACCACTGCGGGTTGAGTGTATTGCTGCGGGGCTACGTAGGGGACAGCTGCCGAGGAAAGCCTGAATTGTAGTGAATCATTGCAAACTTCCTCTTCAGTATGAACACGACACAAAGACTAAAGTCCCCGATAACGTTGCGACGCGAGAGTTTCGATACACATCGTCGCGATACGATACGATTATGTTGAATTAGCATGAACCGTTCGACGACTACCCGGCAATAGCGTTCATCAAATCGCGACAAAAACGATGCGAATTCGACGCGAAACATACTAAACCGTTACCGACACCTTGCGACAGTAGGAATTAATAGGTAGTAGGAATACAGCAGTACTAGCGAAGACGACGAGTTACTATAGCGACATCTCGATCCGAATTTCGTCATCTTCCGTTGGAAGCAAGAAACTGACGCATAGCGACAATTCACAATCCTTCTTTCGCATAATCTTTTAGATCAGTGTCAGCACAGCAAAGTATAAAGATCAGCCCTCTTAAAGGGCTGCGAATAAAACAACGATGTTGTGCAAAAGACGTCATGGAAAATTTTCTCTTTGAAGTAAGAGGGCTTCTTCGAAGTACTTAGCATATTGCATGCAACGAGCGAAAAAAAATCTATATGCATCGTGGATGAAAAAATTTGATTCGACGAAAACAGCGAACATTTCGACTTGAAGGATGAGAAATCCTTGACATTATTTCTCAAGGCCCTTGGTTGACGAAAGTAGTAAGGGTTTGACTCAAGCATGATGAGACCATCGACTAATGTTCAAGCAATGGTAATATGATAGAAATATGATAATGTAAGAGATCACTCTTACAAAAGCGTTTACGTCAAACCTGACCGCCTGTCAAGATATGGCAGTAAGCTGAAACCATAGTAGGAAATGAGAAAACATCTAACTCGTCACGAAGTGAAGGCACGAAACGGCAATGCGCAAAGATCGCTGGTACGATAAGGCTATGCAACGATAAAATCGCTATAGGTGAAGATCGAATCCTTGCATGACACCAGCAATGAGTAGCAAGATATTGATGTAAAGGAAAGAAATAATGAAGATTCTCAGAATGTCGATGGACTCATCGCTATTAAGATGCGCCATGAGCGCCTTCAATGCTAACCGCGCAAATTCTTCCACCAGTTATTTTCTTCCCTGTTTCGGCAATCTAGCTAAATAAATTTGCAGTAGGCAGTACTGTGTAGTTGAAGTGCTCAGTGTCGAAGCAAATGGGGAGATGTAGCTGGCTCCCGGAACTCCGTTTCGTTTCGCTTGAATCTCCTTCTGCAGACGCTCACGATAATAGGTGTATCGTTGCCGCGACAAATTGTATTCCTCATACAACTGTTGCAGCTCGCTGAAATAATATATTTAAAATTACACCAAATTCTGAAAGAAGATGTACAAATTACGTAGATGCGCGAAGTCGTAAAATTTTGAAAGATGTACAAATTACGTAGATGCGCGAAGTCGTAAAATTTTGAAAGAAGATGTACAAATTACGTAGACGCGCGAAGTCGTAAGTTAATCGAAAAAAAAATGAAATAGATACCTTGACACTATGACAGTGCTATACGCTCCAAATTACACCTAAAATTAATTTTAAACAATGAATGGAAAGTTGTACTTACGGTTCCGGCGGTCTTGGAATCTCCTCGTCGATTACGCTGACGATTTGCAAAGGGCGTTTTGCATCTGGCCCATCACTACAGAAAATTAGATGGAAAGCAAAAGAGGATATTACAAAACTTTACTCACATAGCTCCTCCAGGACGTTTGACAGCACCCGTCAAATCAATTTTGATCGTCTGTGTGACTCTAAATTTCATATCGGAATGAAGTATATAGGTAAAACAGTAGTGAAGCTTTTCACGGGTATTGCAGTTACATACAAAAGTGTACAACTAGTGCAATTCCTTTGAACCTCACTTACTGAACACCTCTTACAAAAGCAAGATTATCAAATTATCAAATTCCAGTTGAAGATAACTCACTGATTGTTAGGATCCTGAGGACATTGCGGGGTTTTATGCTCTGTAGATCCACAGCGAAAACACTGATTCGACATACCCGGTTGTGATCGCAGCTTGGACGTTGATCTAATGATGTTTCAAAAGAATTATTTCATTCTATTCTGAAATCAAAATAGACTTACAATTGTATATGTATAGCCTTTCCTTCAAGATTGTAGCCATTTAGTCTCGATATAATCGATTGAACGTCATCGTCATCGATATGCTGAAAAAGAAAACAATTAATAAGATACCGCAAGGTGAGAAATACCCAAATGAACGCCGCATATAGATGCTTGATTTTAATATGTTCTGGTACTATATAGGTACTTCAATTAACTATACCGAAGTCGGGGCCGACACTTTTTGTGAAGACTCCATTCAGTCAAGCTCAACTTCAGCTAATCTACAAAACACCACTGCCATTTGCTCACAAGCACTGCGTCAGACCTAACCTTTTAAGTCGATTTTTTCCATTTGAAAAGTATCCCAATGTTCCAAGAAGCTATTCTGCTTCGTTGCCTTACAGTGAAATCATATTACAATATTGGCAGGGATGCACAGATAAATGAGCACGATTGAAGCCAAATATCGCGCTGATTATGCATAAAGATGTGCTTATTCAATAGTCTGGCAGGCTCGTTCCTAAGCTCAAATGTAGGAAAGACCATCTGTGAAAGACTCACCACAAAGGCATAGTTCTTGACCACATCACACTCTGTGACTTTCGTGAATTGTTGGAAGACCTGCTTGAGCTTGGTGGAGTCAACTGTGTCAGCAAGATTTCCCACAAACAATTTGACCATAGCTGGACCAAAGCGAAAAAGAATAATGCTCGAGCAATGTCAAAGTAGATATAACAAGAAGAAAAAACACTTGGCGATCCATGGGACGCTTGTCCGTCAAGAAACACTGTTTAATGAAAGCTTTATTCAACGTAAACACTGGCAAACGACACAGGATAATGAAGCGCTCGGCTTGTTTGACAATTCCATATTTCCGTAACAAAAATTCGCCCGCAACATTCAATTGAGAGAACTTCATTAGTGAACAAGTGTGGAGAAAATAAACATTTTGCCCAAACAAAGCCAACCTCCATTCGGTTCAAAGATGTAAATCAACACAAAAGAAAGAATTAACAAAAGCCACGTATTAGATGATGTTCCGTGACAAAACTGGAAGTGTTCTTGGAGCAATATGGATTCATGAAGACACATTCTCAGTCGATGGCTGATAGCGTTCCTTCTCTTTGATTAAGAAGTTAATCAAGAAATCGATTGGGTTTTCTGGTCGCTCTTTGGCGAGGGCGCCTAGAGCCTAAAAAATACGCGTTCAGCATACAGCCAAAGGCGTAGGTTAATCGTGGATAGAAATCCAAATGAGAAATGACAAATACCAAAATCACAAAGCATACCTGTAAAAGAATTGGCACAACAGTTTGATCGAGGTATTGTCGAGTAGGAATAGCAGGAGCGGATCGCGGCTGAGTGGGTGCTGCTGGTGCCGGAGTTGGAGCAGGAGCAGCCGGAGCGGCAGTGGTAGCGGCAGGAGGAGCCTGGGTGGTCTGAGCTGGTGCAGCAGCTGCAGGAGCTGGAGCAGCAGGCGCAGCTTCCTGAATTGTCATAACTGACCGGATACACTGCAGTATAGACATTCAAATGAAGCCAACTTCAAAAATGAAATGTAACTTGTTCAAATTCCGTAAACAACCTGGTGAACATGTACATACAGAACATAAGACAACAGAAAATGCCAAAAATTCGCAGACAATTCTTTACCTCTGTTGTAGTAGTGCCTGCCGGTGCCGCCGGAGCTTCTCCTGTCTCCATGGATTCTACCGCAGGTTGCGCTGTTTCAGTAGGAGCTGCCGGTGTTTCCGTCTAGAAAACAATGACGATAGTCTGAGAAATGAGTCATGTAAGTTTTAGTATCCCCGCACAACATATGATGTGCACGAGTTCAATCGATTGCTAAGTTCTTTGACCGCGACTTCATTGAAATTCAGTGGAAAAAACTTTCGATATTCAGATTATGTTTACTCACCGGGGCAGGAGCAGAGTCAGCTGCAGCGTCAGCCATGTCAACTGAAAATTATCTTATTTGAGAAGAAAAGGAGATGGTTACGACAAAAGAGAGTTGAGAATACTACAGCAATGAGTGACAACGCAGACTCAAGATCAGAGATAAAACAAGGACAGGGAAGCCTACCCATAAAATCCAAGAATTTTGAAATTAAAATTGACCTTTGAAAAATAGTCAAAGCATGTTTGTACACACAAGGCAGGAAACGATCTCACTATACGCCTATCCATCTATATACTAATCAATGTACTTTGTAAAAAATGACTTCAAATTCTTCCGGCTTTAATGGCCAACAGCGGACATAACAGTATTTACAGTTAAGGTTGTTTGGATTTACTATGTTACTCAAACTTTTTGCTCTTACTTACATACGTGTATAACTTCAGTAACCTCATCTTCCCATGATCGGAAAGATGCTATGGATGATGTTGATTGACTCAGCATCATTATGAAAAGCAACGAAATGGTGCTAAAGTTCAGTTGGAAGATGATAGTACAACAAAAGTTATGCTGATGCAAATGAAGTTGCTCTGAAAGCTATAAGCCATTGGAGTCACGGTTATATTTACTCTTAAATGCGAATTTGGTGACTGGATGCCACCCAGCAAGCAGTATGCAAGTAGTATGATGCACCTCACACATCATAAACTACAAATTATAATTCCGCTTTACTGCATTTTAATAGCCCAACCGTTCAAACAAAGGAGAAGCTTCCACAGCGAAAAGTATGGCGCTATCCTTGATTTCTTCGCTGTGGTGCTTTTCCCTCTTTTGAGAACTATTGAGAGGGTGCAAATGCAGTAAAGCAGAACTCTTTCCAGTTCGCCATGTGTGATGTCAGAGCGATCCCTTCGAACGCAACTCCCCGAAGCACGAACCCTGGAGGCGCGGTCCACCCAAACCCTAGACTTCCATGTTGTTAAGGAACCTTCTCATGTCCCTGATTCTGAATATGAAGTCAAAAATCAGCGAAAACCCCGACGACCCCATTCCTGAGAACCTACGGAGCGCCCTATTTGGAACGAAGATTGATATGACAGGAACGGATGGGCGGGCACTACTGGAGAGGGCGTTCCCATCTAGGGATCTTCTGCTCTATTCCTTATACCGGAGCAATTTTCTCGCTTTGGAAGCAATAATTCGCCCGCGACTTCGGCACTGGCATGTTAGGCTGCGTTCATAATGATCCGGAAGTTCGGGAAAAGTTCCAGCACAGCGCTCGAATACAGCGCTGTCCTGGAAGTGTTCCCGGACTTCGGAATCAGTATGAACGCACCCTTAGGGGGGGGGGGGGGGGTATCATGCTGTCAAAAGCTCAGGACTCTGACTAAAGGTGGATGGTGTCCTCAAGCGATTGTATACCAATAAGTTTATTTGCACTAACAAGGGAATAGTCAGAAGTCGAAGTGGCCGTTCCATACAAGCTGCATGTCATTAGATGTAGCATAAAATGCTGACTCTAAATCTGTCATCCTTATCTGCAGAGCGCCTTTGTGAACGAAATTATAAGCCGTTAAAGGCCATTATTTTGCTAAGAAATTGTGCATGCAAAGTGCAAACTTGGCCGTACAAAGCCATTCTCGGCTCAGTGTTGGACCAAAACCATGCAACTAGGCCACTTCATATGACCCATACCTAGAGGTGAGCTGAAAGAGCACTAAAGTGCCTAATTTCTAATTTTTGTATACGATTTTTTCGCGATAAAGCTGCTCATAACTTCGGCTACAAAGGCGCTCTGCAGATTCGGAAGACAGATTTGAAATCAGCATTCTATGCTTCATTGAATGGTATGCAGCTTGTATGGATTGGCCACTTCGACTTCTGACCATTTCCTTGTAAGCCTGATCGTGTGAGAAGTGCACTAAATGGATCACTAATCGCGCCCGGGTATCAATGGCGCCGCCTCGATCGATGGCGCTGGCGCCGGCAAAATGCCCGGGCGCGATGCGGTCGCGCGACCGCTGGTGCAAACGACTCTGCAATTTAGGAGCCCTGTATTATCATGGCATACAAGTAATTCCCTGAAAATTCCAAAGAAAAGAAAGCAGAAACAAAAACTACTATGTCGGTTTCACTTTAGTCAGTAGGACGATTCAATACACGACTGTAATCTTACGAGGCAAGCATACATTGAGAACAGCCATTCAAGTGGATCATACACATCGTATGTGAAACAAATCCTTGACTATAAGACTGTAATATGATTGTTCCTTCAGCGGTAAGTTGCTGATTCGAAAGGGTTTTTTGCAGCTAGAAAGCCAGACCTTGCTTTTCTAACCAAACTCAACTCAATCATCCAAATACAAAAGTAGTTGGATGTTGCTTCCCAGCATGAGACCACTATCATTCATGACTAACAATAAAAAATTAAAAAAGTCTGAAAAACGTCCATAACTTTCTTAAAGGCAGTGGATCGGCAAAATGGACCCTTCTCGTATTTTGATGGATTCAGGTATAGCAGACCCCCCAAATAGGGTCTGCCACCCAACATTATTCCCCAAAATTCGAGAAGGGTCCATCCTACCAACCCACTGCCTTTGAGCTTCGACGGAAAGGCCGTGAATAAGAATGGACAAAGACATGGACAAGTCCAAGATAATGCGAAATTTCCTGGCTGAAATGATTGATTTTTATCTTGATGCGAATGCGATATCTTTACTGTCTATTCGATCAAAACTGAAAAGTATAGTTCACTCCAAACCTATACACGAGCTCATAATAAGCTATACTATAACTACAAACGATGCTCTAAACCTAAAAGGTAAAAGCAATGGCCAGCACATAGCTCTCCAAAGCTGCAGCCGGCAGTCGACAATGAAACCGACTATTTAACCAGAAAAGCCCTTTTGCTCAAAGTGGACGTTTGATGAGACGGTACATCAGCAGATGCCAACAACGTGCTGATTACGTCCGTATTCATTATCCAAACACCTCAAAGGCGCCGTCCAAGCAAATCTGGACCCACGGGCCTTTTATGTGGAAAGTAATTTTGGAGCCGTAACTAAGGCACTGCACAAGCGGCAGCGGAGGTGACTTACTAACAGCTGAGATATACGCCTCCAAACTGGACCCCAGGATCGTACTTCGCATAAATTCATGGCGCAACTCATCAGTTTCGCGCGAATACCCACGCGTTGCGCCATGAATCCATGCGAGATACAATCCTGGAGTCTAATTTCGAGGGGAATATCTCTGCCGTTAGAGCATTACCTGAGCTGCCGGTTGGGAAGTGGCTTAGTTAGAGCCACAAAATTACGAGGGACCGTAGATTCGCCCGCAGGAACGATTACTTTTGGATTGGAGCAGGAATTGTGTTTAGAGCGCTCAATCGTCTCTCGTTCTGCTACGTGCAGTTATGAATTTGACGGAACTCCTTTTTCCAGTACCAGTTTAGTCTATATTAGCTCGCTACACTGTGTTCTTGTGTGACCAATAGGTTTAGGCTCATCTTGTAGGTCTGAAGTTCTAGAGTTTCTCAAGTGAGGTGTAGTGCATCAGAGTTATTGTAATCTTTATTGTCAAGTTTACTAGAGGTGGAAAGAGCAACTGGCTAGAGGTCACTGTCAAAAGTAGTCTACAGCAAACTCAGCCCCGGTCAACATTTTGACCCAGTTGCATCTTGATGGTCCCGTCTCATTCGCTTTTCATATAACAAGGCGGTGACGAGGTTGCATCGAGGTTTTTACGCTCGGATGTTCTACGCAAACAAAGCCATCGAAATGTTTGCTACTTTCTAACACTTATTTTGCAGACGCTCTTGCCGCGTCTGTCATTTTAGCGGACTTCTTCATATGTCATGCTTGGCATGAAATCAATCTTTGTTCCACGTTTATCTGGAATTCATCCGAGAATATTTAAATTGGCAACAAATTTGTGCAAATTGTGTGCATTATCAACTCTCTGCCAGATAAACGTGGAACAAAGATTGATTTCATGAGGGCATCGCAATTCCATGCATAAACACTAAAGCATGAGGAATAAAAAATACATCGCAGCGCTTTATTGCTCCGAAAAGGAGGACATTTCACAGTCAAGCTCTGCCATGATTTGCTTTGTAGTATTTCAGATTTACTTGAATCATTCAGGCCTGTTGTAGAATCAACTTTTCTCCTTCTGGTGTAAGGCACATTTGATACAACAAACTTGCATTATGGCCCCGATCCTCATATTTCAAGTCACCCAATAATTTACAATGCAGATTTTCAGATTTGAGAAGAGCATTGATTCAGGAAACAATTTTGTGCCAAGTACCAAAAACTAGGTATGAATGAGTGTATTGACGTTTCATCATGTTCTTGTAAATCTGAAACACTGCAAGGGCTGACATGAAAACTGGAGTCATGGTTCAAGTTTGTTGAAGGTGACATTTGCAATTCTTATTGCAAACGGTTTCGGTTAATGGTGCGTACATTTTCGACAAACTAAGTCTTAAAACCTAAGCATCTGCATTCAAATTCTCTTGCAAGATTATATTCTTGGCGAGCTTTGGAAAATGAAGTTCAGTGGTCTTTTCCCCGCTTACATTTCTGTGACCGTACCGTAGTAGAAACTCGCCGAGATTACCATAAGTCTGACTTTTTCTTAAGTATATTTGTATGTATATTTGTATAGGGCAAATTCGCCTGGATGATGCAAAAAGTAAAAATTTTTCAGTGAAAAGGAGAAAGTTCTGTACATCTGATACTTGAATTAGCCTTTCAGGTCCAAGCAGCATGCTGTGTGGTGATAAAAATCTACAGCGCATCCCAAATACTGTGCACACTGTATGATCGTTAATAACTCTCTTGCCTTCATGTCTTCTTGAAGAGGGCTGTACAAATTTTACGGAGCTGAAAGACTTTGACAAAAGCACAAAAGAACAAATCTTGCCAGCTCTCGAGAAGTCACAGCAAGAAGACGAAGATCAACCGCTGATCAGGGCGCAACATTCACAATCAGAGACAAACTACGATGTTAAGAAGCTGGTACAATCGTAGTTTCCTAGTGCCACCTTTTTTGCAAGAATTTCGCTTATAGGTAGACTCCCCAATAGTCAAGGCATTCAATGAAGCTGAAAGGAGACGGTTGTCCAGATCGAAAAAGTGATATCTACTAAAGAAAAAAGGAAAAAGCAAATTAAACTTTTATGCACAAATTCAAACCGCATTAGTAAGAATTTTGTATTTGATGCTGATAGTAATGGAGACCTAGAGCATGAGTAACTCATCTTATGCTGTAACTCTGCGCGGTTTCCCAAAATCAGTTTCCGCTGGCGATACCCATTTGTTCAGATTTGCCTGGACGCCGGAAGAAAGTGGCTTGGCAAGCTTGATACGGAGATTAGAGTTGCAGTAGTAGAGTTGCAAGACGCAACATTGAGTTATTTGGTAAGCGCATTCTCAAAATCAGCGTTGGAAGGATAAGGTGCTCTACGGAGGATTCCTGCTCCAGTTCAAAAGTAATCGTTC